GGTTTGGGGCAGGGCCATTAGACAATGGAAACCCAGTTTATTCTGGAAACAATCAACTTGCTCCCCAAAATGAGCTGCAAGCGAGTGCCTGTGCGCTCAGCCCAGTCTGGAGCTCGGAGCCTGGCTGCCCCACTGCGCCATCACCAGCCTGGCTGAACGAGGGTCCCAGTCAAACCATGTGGGCTCTGCGTTGGCCTTGGAGAGAACCACGGACTCCCCCTGGGTTGCCTGAGCTCTGCCTGAAGCTAGCCCTCCCCGAGCTGGCCCACAACAAACGCCTTGACTTCCCGTCAACCCTTCCTCAACCGTCAAGATTCAGCACAGATGCCACTGGCTCAGTGCAGCTGCCCTCGCTGCCACACCCCGTGCAGACTTTGTGTTCCTTCTCCCTCCTGCAGCGCCCCGAGCGACAGCGTGAATAACCCGGCTGTCCAGATGTGATGGTGTCACTCATCACCAGCCTGTGATCCCCTCCAAGGCCACATGTCCTCTTTGTGGCTCCAGAGCCCAGGGCCCAGCGTGCAGTAGCTGTATGTATTTACTGAATGGAGGGATGAATAAGTTCAGGTACGGATAATAGTTTTATTTATTTATTTATTATTGTTTTTGAGACAAAGACTCGCTCTGTTGCCCAGTCTGCGGTCTTGGCTCACTGCAACCTCTACTTCTTGGGTTCAAACGATTCTCCTGTCTCAGCTTCCCAAGTAGCTGGGATTACAGGTGCCCACCACCATGCCTGGCTAATTTTTGTAATTTTAGTAGAGACGCGGTTTCAACATGTTGGCCAGGCTAGTTTCGAACTCCTGGCCTCAGGTGATCTGCCTGCCTTGGCCTCCCAAAGTGCTGGGATTACAGGTGTGAGCCACCGCACCTGGCCTTATTTATTTTGGTATGGATGGGAGGTCTCACTCTGTTGCTCAGGCTGGTCTCGACCTCCTGGCCTCAAGTGATCCTTTTGCCTCAGCCTGCTAAACTGTTGGGATTACAGGCACAAGCCACAGTGCCTGGCCCAGTTCTGTCTTTTGAGTTGAACTTGGCATCCAGGAGGATGTTGTGAACAAGTGTGAAATGATAATATTCTTTCTAGCCCACTCTAGATACAGCAGCAGTTTGGAGGGTAAAAGATGTTGGGTTTGAAATAGATTTATTGGCCAAGTGTGATGGCTCACACCTGTAATCCCAGCACTTTGGCAGGCCAAGGCAGGAGGATTGCTTGAGCCTTTAAACATGACGAAACCTGGTCTCTATTAAAAATACGAAAATTAGCTGGGCGTGGTGGCGTACTCATATAGTCCCAGCTGCTCGGGAGGCTGAGGCGGGAGAATCGCTTTGACCTGGAAGGCAGAGGTTGCAGTGAGCTAAGATTGCACCACTGCACTCCAGCCTGGGTAATGGAGTGGGACTCTCTCTCTCTCAAAAAAAAAAAAAAAAAAAAAAAAAAAAAAAAGATTCATTCACACAAAAAAAAAAAAAAAAAAAAAAAAAAAAGATTCATTCAGAAAACAAGATTTTAGAACTAATTGGCTATTGAGGTGATGGAGGGAAGAATAAGGCTAGACTTCAAGGTTTCTATCTAGAGATTGAGGAGATGCTGATATCGTTGTCTGGAAATGCAGGGGTTGAGCAATTTTGGAGGAAACAGTGAGCTCATTTTTAGAAATGTTAGGAGGAATGTTTGGGAGACAGAAATAGAGGCCTAAGTTCGCTTGAGCCCAGGAGTTCGAGACCAGCCTGGGTAACATGGTGAAACACTGTCTCTACTAAAATTACAAAAATTAGCCTGGCGTGGTGGCACATGCCCTACTTGGGAGGCTGAGGTGAACAGTTGCTTGAACCTGGGAGGCGGAGGTTGCAGTGAGCCGAGATTGTGCCACTATACTCCAGCCTGGGTGACAGAATGAGACTTTGTCTCAAAAAGAGTCAGCTGAGCATGGTGGCTCATGCCTGTAATCCCAGCACTTTGGGAGGCCAAGGTGTGTGGATCACTTGAGGTCAGGAGTTCCAGACCAGCCTGAGCAACATGGCGAAACCCTGTTTCTATCAAAAGTACAAAAATTAGCCTGGCATGGGGGCGTACGCCTATAATCCCAGCTACTTGGGAAGCTGAGGCAGAAGAATCGCTTGAACTCTAGAGGTGGAGGTTGCAGTGAGCTAAGATCGTGCCACTGGACTCCAGCCTGGGTGACAGAGTGAGACTCCATCTCAAAATAAATAAATAAATAAATAAAATAAAAATAAATAGTGGTACAGATGGATAGATACATAAATTATGTCATTCACTAGGTAGGTTGAGAAGAGAGCTGTAGAGAGAATCTGAGTGTAATAGTCAGGGCAGGCTAACTGCTGTAACAAACAGCCCCCACATTTCAGTGGTATAACTCAAGAGAAATTTTTTCCTTGCTTATGACAGTAACAGTTCATTGCTGACATTTGGAGCATGACCTTCCACATGGTCATTTTGGGACCCAGTCTCTTTCCACCTTGTGGCTCTGTCATTCTCCTAGAGCCTTGGAGTGCTCTGCTTTTGAGCAGCTGATGGGATGGGAGAGGCAGAGTAGGATTCTGTGATGAAGATTTCTACGGATCAGGTCTGGAAATATTTTTTGCTCACACTACGTTGGCCAGAACAAGACCGCCTCAGCACAAAGGAAGCTGGGAAATGTAGTTTAGTAGGGTGCCCAGAAGGAAAAGAGAGATAGTCCATGCCACCCTGAAGCAACACCAAAATATGAGGGCTGGATGTAGGAAGAAGCACCCGCAAAAGCAGCACCTGTCTCATAAAAAAGAAAGAAAGAAAAAAAAAGGATGAACCAGGAGAAAAATGACATTTGGACACCCTGTCTCTAAAGAATAAAAAAGCTCACTGCATCTCACTGGAGCCTCAGAAGCAAGCCCAGGACTGAAGCGAGGCCAGCAAGGTGCTGGGGTGAAAAGCAAACCTGACTCCAGCCTGGCCAATGTGGTGAAACCCTGTCTCTACTAACAATACAAAAATTAGCTGGGCATAGCGGTAGGCGCCTGCATTCCCAGCTGCTCAGGAGGCTGAGGTGGGAGGATCACTTGAGCCCGGGGCTCGGAGGTTGTAGTGAGCTGAGATCATGCCACTATACTCCAGCCTGGACGACAGAGCAAGACCCTGTCTCAAAAAAAAAAAAAAAGAAAGAAAAATGAGCCTGAGGGTGAGGCCTCCCTAAATGTTGTGCCTTGGGTGCCTCAATTCTTCACCCAGCCCCAGTCCCAGTGGTCAGGTGTGGCAGAGAAAGAAAAGGGAGAAGGCTGGGAAGATGCCAGTGAATTTAGCGACCAGCAGTCCCTGCAAGCGACTGTAACAAGAAGGAAGGCCCTGGCAGCTCTTGGACAGGAATTTGACTGAAGTCCAGTCCCAGTGACTGCAATTTCCCAATTTTCTGGTTCAGAAGCCAGGCTCTAAGCTGTGTGTGCCCTTAAAGTTACTTTGGAAGAGGGAAGGGAAGGGAAGTGGATGTTAGTTGAGTTCTGTGGGAAGTAAAATTTCCTCTTCAAAGTTGCCTTTCTTGTTAAAGAATAAATCATAAGTGTGCTAATAACGCTTTGTTAAGCCCTATCCTATGTAGCTGTTAGACATGCCATGCTTACAGACATGTAGTACATTCTATGTCCTTGTACTTTAACCAAGATATCTGTGCTGGACGTGCTCACAGGCATGTCCCAGCTCTCCATTGCTTTTACCTGTTTAGAAAATTTTAGGTTGTTGGCCAATTGGGTTTTAGCTTAGATTGTGAGGTCTGGCTCCAGCCAACAGAGTTCAGACGCAGCAGTAAGGACGACCCCAAATGCATAAGGGATAAATATGTCTGCTTTTCCTTTGTTTGTTATATTCTCATGGCAAGATGGCTAGTGAGAGTAGCCTTCCTGCAGTCCAGGAAGTAAAAATTGCTTGCTGGGAGATCCTCCGTCTCAATGCTGATTTTCCTTTGCGGCGCTGAGCATCTGTTTCCAACAGTTCCTACTCTGTTTCATTTGCAGAGTTTTCTCACTTCATTCTCAGTTGAACCCATGAGGTAGATGCTATGCCATGAATGTTTTTTTCTTTAGAGACAGGGTCTCTCTCTGTCACCCAGGCTGGACTGTGGTGGCAGGATCATGGCTCACTGCAGCTTTGAACTCCTGGACTCAAGCCATCCTCCCATCTCAGCCTACAGGTGTGCACCACTGTACTTAGTGAATTTCTTTTCCTTTTTTCTGTTTTTTGGGAGAGATGGGATCTGTCTATGTCTCTGTGATGCCCAGGCTGGCCTCAAACTTCTCAAACTCCTGGCCTCAAACAATCCTCCTGCCTTGGCCTCCCAAAGCACTGGGATTGCAGGCATGAGTCACTGCACCCAGCCTGTTATGCTATTTTATTTATTTATTTATTTAGAGACAGAATCTCACTCTGTCACCCAGGCTGGAGTGCAGTGGCATGATCTGGGCTCACTGCAACCTCCACCTCCCGGGTTCAAGTGAGTCTCATGCCTCAGCCTCTCAAGCAGCTGGGATTACAGGTGCTCGCCACCATGCCTGGCTAATTTTTATATTTTTAGTAGAGGCAGGGTTTCACCATGTTGGCCAGGCTGGTCTCGAACTCCTGATGTCAGGTGATCCACCCACCTAGGCCTCCCAAAGTGCTGGGATTACAGGCATGGGCCACTGCACCAGGCCCTGTTATGCCATTTTAAAGCTAAGGAAACTGAGGCACAGAAAAAGGTAAAAAAAGTTCTTGAGATCAAAAAGGATGGAGTTAAGATTTGAACCCAGGTCCAAGGCCCATGATCTTCCCAGCGCAGCATCCAAAATGCCTGCCTGCACTCACCAGGGAGCACATGTTTACATTCACAGCCTTGTACCCTGGGTTAGGGCCAGGAGGACTGGGTGTGGGGCGAGAACAGGGCCTCTGGCTCCTCCACTGGCTGGGGCAGGGCTTCTGAGTTCCCCATTGGAGCCCCTCCTCTGACCATGGGGGGCACCCTGAGGAATGTGCAGGCCTGGCAGAGGACAGGAGGGAGGCCCAGAGAGCCTGGGAAGGACTGGCTGGCTGCTTCCTCCCTCCACAGCCCCACCCCCTGGCCTGGTGCCTCTGGGAGCCCTGAGCCTGAGAGCCAACACACCAGCCCAGCCAGCTGCAAGTCACCATGGACGCTGAAGGTAAAGGGACACTCTCTGCCGTGTCCCTGCACCCACCCCCCACTGCATGCCCCTACCCCCATCCTGACTCATCTCAGCCCCTCTGGCTTCCTCTGGAGCCATCTCTCCATGTCTCCTCTGGTCCCGTCATGGTCATTGACTCCCTTACCTACCCCATGTCCCTGCAGCCTGGCCCACGCCCCAGAGGCCCGTTTTCACTCTTCTTTCTCCTTCTGTGTTAAGTCCCAAAGAAGCTCCGGGGAAGGAAGGGGCTTGAGCCCTAGAAAGGGGCAGGTCGGCCTGGAGGAGGTGGCATCTCCTAGGGGCTGAGGGGGCTGGTAGTGGGAGGCTGGGCAGGGGAGCAGCTTGGACTTCGGCTCTCGCTGGTAGCTCAGGGAAGCAGAGACAAAGTCCTGTCTCATCTGCAGCTGGGTGGGGGAGGGGGCTTGAGTCCCGTGATTCCCTGCTTAGGCGCTGCCTGGAGCAGACCCAGGGACTGCTCTGCGGTCAGAAGGCCCCACCAGGGAGCTGGCTGTGTGACCGTGGGTGGGTTGCGGCTTCTCAGAGCCTCGTTTTCTTCCATCTGTAAAATGACAATAATAGTTCCCTGTTCTGGCTGGGCACAGTGGCTCACGCCTGTAATTCCAGCACTTTGGGAGGCCGAGGCGGGTGGATCACCTGAGGTCAGGAGTTCGAGACCAGCCTAGCCAACATGGTGAAACCCCGTCTCTACTAAACATACAAAAATTAGTTGAGATGTGGTGGTGCATGCCTGTAATCCCAGCTACTCTGGAGGCTGAGCCTGGAGAATTGCTTGAACCCCAGTGGCAGAGGTTGCAGTGAGCCGAGATCGGGCCACTGCACTCCAGCCTGGGTGACAGAGCTAGACTCTGTCTCAAAGAAAAAAAGAAAAAAAAAAAATAGTTCCCTGTTCACAAGGTTGTTGGGAGGACAGATGATGGGAGGCATGGGTGCCTGGATCCTCCTCCACCTTTGGGGTGCCTACTGGCCCCACACACCTGGCCCCTCTGGCTTTGCTGTGGAACCAGCTCTCGGGGGGTCCCATGCAGGATGGCACACAGGCACCTAACCAGCTCTCGGGGGGTCCCATGGAGGATGGCACACAGGCACCTTCCAGTCTCCATTGTGTCTTTCTCTTTTGAAACCACACCGACCTGGATTTCAGTCCTGGCTGCCACCTTCTTTCCCCATGCCCACTGGGCACTGTCACCTGCATGTGCCCTGTGTCTCCACTGCCTGGCCTGCGCTCTCTCTATTCTCTCTGCCTGGCGAGCCTTCCTTTCCTGTCAATTCCAGCCGATTCTCAGAGCCAAGCTTTCCGGCTTCTCCTATCCACACTCAGATTCTGTGGCTCCTTCTACCATGGGTGTGCAGGGTGGTCACATTTGGCCCTATTTGGAGGTCACTTCTCCAGGGAGTGAATGGAGGGGAAAAGGACATTTATCCGGGACCTGCAGTGCTGACCAGCCTCTATCTCCACCTGGTGTTTGCCAAATGAGTCAACAAATGAACAGATGGAAGAACAGAGCTGCCAGAATCAGACCCCTGGGTTGAGGCTGCTGGCCAGGCATTGGCGCAGGCGCTTTATTGAATTGCCTCATTTGGTCCTCCCAGCAGCCCTGGAATTTCCACGTGAAACTGATACTCAGGGAGGTTACCACCTTGCCGGGGGTCATCCAGCCCGTAGGTTAGGTGTAACACAGAAACACGGTAAAAAGCTGAGCGTGGTGGCGTGCGCCTGTGGTCCCAGCTTCTCTAAGGCTGATGCAAGAGGACTGTTTGAATTCAAGAGGTTGGGGCTGCAGTGAGCCGTGATTGCACCACTACGTTCCCAGTCTGGACGACAGAGCGAGACCTTGTCTCTAAAAACAAAACAAAAACAAAAAGCAGTAAACAGCAACAATAACACATCAGTAAACAATCCAGAATAGAACAGCAGCAGTACCAGAGGGGGGAGAATCTTCATCTATTCTGCCAGAGTTGTCAGCAATCTGTATCTACATGATTTGAAAAGAGAAAAGATGTACAAATAATATCCCAAGATGCCCTGATCCCCTCCAAGCAGAGATGCCATTTTCTTTTTCTTTTTCTTTGAGATGGAGTCTCGATCTGTTACTTAGGCTCAGCTCACTGCAACCTCCACCTCCTGGGTTCAAGCAATTCTCCTGCCTCAGCCTCCCAAGTAGCTGTGATTACAGGTATCTGCCATAACACCTGGCTAATTTTTGTATTTTTAGTAGAGATGGGGTTTCACCATGTTGGCCAGGCTGGTCTCAAACTCCTGACCTCAAGTGATCCACCCGCCTCGTCCTCCCAAAATGGTGGGATTACGGGCGTGAGCCACTGTGCCCAGCCTTAAAGATACCAATTTTATTAGCGTTTTATTAACTTTGGAAACCAATTAAGGAGGGATCACCTTGAAGGATCAAGGTTATATTCCACAGGATAAAACTCCAATCTCTGAAATCCAGGCATTTTGGGAGACCTTTTACACGTCCAGCCACCAGGCTAGGAGGCTGTGGGATACAGCGGGCGCACCTGCCTTCTCCAAGCATGTGGCAGCCTGCCTGGCATTTCTTTGATGGGCCAACTCTCCCGTTGCCAGCCACAAAAACAGCTTTCCCTCTATGAAGTGCCATTCAGTAACAGCTGCTAATTAGCAGAGCCCCGTATTTTCAAAGCTACCCACAGGAATCCCTTTTGTTGGAAATGCATGAGAGAGTCAGAGGCTAAAAAAAGGAACACCCAGATGTATTTATTTATTTTTCACAAAGAGGACATGGAATGTGTAACCGTCCCCCTCTCTATTAGAGATCAGAATGACTGAACTCCAAGAAGGGGGCAAGAGGGGAGCCCTGCACAGGGAAGCAGCTTTGATGTTCTTTTTTTTTTTTTTTGAGACAGAGTTGTTCTGTTGCTCACTCTGCTGCTCAGGATAGAGTGCAGTGGTGTGATCAGGACTCACTGTAGCCTCAACCTCCTAGACTCAAGTGATCCTTCTGCCTCAGCCTCCCAAGAGGAGCTGGGACTACAACTGCATGCCATCACTCCTGGCTAACCTTTTAAATTTTAATTTTACTTACTTTACTATTATTTTTTAGACTGCATCTCCCTCTGTTGCCCAGGCTGGAGTGCAGTGACACAGTCTTGGTTTGCTGCAGCCTCAACCTTCTGGGCTCCAGTGATCCTCCCACCTCAGCCTCCCAAGTAGCTGGAGGTGTGTGCAACCATCCCCGGCTAATTTTTTTTTTTTTTTTTTTTTTGAGACAGAGTTTCACTCATGTTACCCAGGCTGGAGTGCAATGGCGCTATCTCGGCTCACCGCAACCTCCGCCTCCTGGG